AATGAAAAACTTATTTGATTATTCATCCACTTCCTATTTTACATAATGTAGTTTGTCCTTTATGAGTTATATATAATCCTTCTCTTTTTATACTATAATCTTCTAATCCATTTAAAAAACTCATTCCTAATAATATATGAGGTTCAATATCCATACTTTCATCCAAATAACATGGTACTAAAAGATCAATCCCACCTATTTTTATTGGTACATTTACCTTTAATTCTGTAATATATAGTTGTCCATCAAAATTCCTGTATTCATATGACTCTATCTTGTAATCCTTCATTTTTATTTGCAGTCATATGACATTCACCAGCTCTTGTATTCATCAATATATTTGGTCATTTTATATACCTTTTACCGTTGAAATATTTTCCTTCTATTTTCATATTTCCAATATTTCCATGAGATTTTATTTCTTTTATACCGCTAATTTCTCCCAAATATTCTTTTTTATTAGGTAGTCGAAGACTTTTTGATTTCTTTATCAACCTTCTATTGTGAAATGTTATTTTATAATCTTCTTCTTTTCTTAACTTTGTTATTTCAGGCTTATTTTTAGTTATATTAAATTTATATTCTTCTGGAATTAGATTTATTTGTTTGTTTGGTTCCACTATTCTACTAATATCCTTGCATTCCTTATGGATTTTTATGCATGGTTTATAGAAATAAATATTCCCATAATTAGAATTAGTAAATGTATATAATGCCCTATATTCCATAGTCATAATTTGATCTCCTGGTTCCATTATATCATTTCTATGTAATTTGAAATGTAATCCTAAAACTTTATTAAAGTTTTTATCTTTCAATGAGACACAATATTTTGGGTAACAAGTAAATATTAACTTTTGATATGCTAAATTTCCTTCTATAGTTCCTAAATGACCATCTTCAAGATTTATAATTCTTCCATCATGTAAGCTTACAGTTAATGGTGAATCTATTCCTTCCCTAAAGATTTAAACATTATTTGTATTCCTGCTAAATAAACATATTGGATCTTTTCACTATATTTTTTACTTATTTTTGATAATAATTCTGATACTGTACTTTTTGTTAAAAGGTTTATTTTATGTGTTCCTTGAGTTGTCTTGACATCTATAGTTTTTTCAATCTTATGGTATTCATTTATTGCTATTCTTTCTCTTCTCCATATTCTATCTAGAATTTTCCATTTTTTTATTTTCAAATCTAATGATAACTTTTGTATTTTCTTAAATTTATTATTATCAAAAGTTACTTTTAATCTATAACCTTCTATTCCCTTATATTCTTGGATTTCTATATTATTATTTTCTATTTCTTCAATTTCTCTATTCAAATTCTGATCCATTATCTTCTGAATCTGCTTCACTTATAAATATTTCCTGATTATTATAATGTTCAATATCAGATATTTCACTTTCTATTTCAAAATAATCTTTTTGTAATATTCTTACTTTTTTCTTTGTGCAATCAGGACTTATATGGCCTATTTCTTCACAATACCAACATTTACATTATTTTTTTATCTTTCTTATAAGGTTTATTTTTTTGTATATTATTTTTTCTTTTATAATATTTCCTTCTAGGTTTTATGTATTTTTTCTTAAAGTTTCTATATTTTTTAAACTTTCTGTTTTTATATTTTCTTTTATTTATTTTTTTCAGAATTACATCCCCATCTTATAGGTTTTTCCATATCTTCACAACATATTCTAGTTAATTTTTCTGATTTTTTCAATAATTGTCTTTGTTGACATATATATGCAACTCTTTCAAACAAAAATTTTATTCTTGATCCTAGTGTTCTAGGTATTCCTATATTTTCTTTAATATATTTTTCGAATTCTATTTTAAAATATATTCCCCATGATCCTGGTAATTTATTGTAATACATATTTTGATATACTTCTTGATTTTCATTACTATAAAATTGAGTATAATAGTAATCCTTGAATTCACATGTATATTCTTTAATTTTACACATATCACAAATTGTTAAATTAATTAACTTAACTCTTGCATTATCTTTTTCTCGTATTACTTCTTCTTCATAATATCTTAACCAATTTTCTCCTAGGAATTCATTTGCAATATATTCTACTAATCTTTCTATTCCTAGTTTATCTGACTTTATTATTTCTGTTTGTACATTTCTTTTTATTAATAATTTTGTATCACTACTAATTCCTTCCCATCAATTTCTAACATTTCTTTCAAAAGATGCAATTAAAAAATCTATTCTTTTTTCAGTATTTTCCCATGTATCACCTTTATTATATAAAAAGAATAATATCATTGAGTCTGCCCAAGTTATTAAGGCTTTCTTAATGTGCAATCTAAGTCTAATTTTGTTCCTCCATGGTTAACAGGTTTATCATAATAATTATTGAATTCAAATCTATTACTATATTTATTTCCTTTAGACGGTTGTTTATCTCTTATTTTATCATAAAATTGTCTATATGGTTTATTAGATATCGGAGCATAACTTTCATCTGAATCTATTGATTCTTGTTTAGAGGTTCCTACGGGATTAGGTCCTCCTCCAATATTCATTAAGATTTGATATTCATCATCTATACTTTCTGAGCTTAAATGATCAAAGTTATTTATAAGTAGATCTAATTCGTCATTCATTTTCTTTGTCTTGATTTTCTTTAATTTTTTGTTTACTTAATATTTTTTCTCTAGATTCCTCTTCTTCTAATATTTTAGGTAATATATTTTTTCTAAACTCATCATCCATGCTTCCTTTTTCCATTATTATATTTTCTCTTTCTATATGTTTTTTCCCTATTCTGGTTATTTTTTTTCTATAAATTTTTTATCTATTCTGTTATTCTCTTCTTCATTTTCTTTTAATTTTCTGACTTCAAGTTTCAATTTATTTATATAATTTCTTGCTTCTTTTATTCCATTCTTTATTTATTGTACATCATTTATTAATGTTCTTATTAAATGTTTTAATTCTTTTATGTGTTCACTGATTGACATTTTCTTTTATCAATTTTTTGATTGACAATAATAAAATGCTATATACTCAGCATTTTTACAATCTCTTATCATTTTATCATACTTTTGTTTTATAACTTCAATATTTGTTAGTTCTTTTAATTTTTCATAATACCTTACTTTTTCTTTATATCTTTCTTATTTTAATTTTAATATTTATTTTTCTCGAGTTTTAGTTATATCTGCAGGTATTAATAATTCATTTAAAATTTTATTAATTATTAATCTTATTCTTCTTAACTTTCTTTCTAAAATATTTTTAGTTTCTTCCGTTATATTTTTATGATGATTCAAATATTTTTCTATGGTATAATTCATTTTCAAATATTTCGATAATTATTTCATATGTATGTCTATCTTTGATAAATCCTACAATTAATTTATGTAATATTTGTTCCTTTATTTTTTAGGTAAATTCCTAGTTACATATAATGTTATTATTTTTAATTTATTAGGGATAGGGTTGAAAAATATATAACATCCCTTTTCTTCAATACATTGATAATAGTTATTTATTTTTATGATTTCCATAATAAAACTTTTTTTTTTCAGATTATTATGAAATCTATTTCACTCTGGATTTCTTCTAATATATGTATATATATATATAGATGCTTATATTCTTCAAATAATATCTTTTTAATTATTTTTTCTTTTAGTTCTAAAGGTAGATTTTCAATTACTCTGAAAATTTCTAATACTTTTTTTATGTCTTTACTATATGTTCCAACTATATTATCTTCTTCTATATAGCCTTCTATATTAGAACTATATTTTACCTGATATCTTAATCTATTTTTTATAAGTTTCAATAATTTCTAAAATCATAAACTTTTGAGTCTTTCTTTATCTTTTCAATGATTAATTTTATTTATTTTCAATATCTTTTAGGTAATTTATTTTTATATATTTTCTCATGATCTCTCTGGCTCTGATGCCAACAGGATGAATGCTACTATGAGCGAACAAAAATCTAATAATCAAAAATCTAATAATCTAATATTCTAAAAATTCTTTTTTTTTTGTTTTAGTTAATCTATTTGTTATTAAACGTATATAAAATCTTAAGGTAAGGTTAAAAACTAATTTTTTGTATGCTTATGGTAATCTATTTTTTTCTCATAAATTTTTAAGTAATTCTTCAAAATTTAGTAATGTCTGAGAATTTATAATATCAACATTTGTTATCATATTTATGTCTGTTCTAAAAGGTATATCATATTTTAAGATATTTTTTTTCCTTTTTTCTAATTTATCTATGATACCTTGTATATCTTTTATAATTATTGATCTTATAATTCTTTTAACAAAATTTTCTAATAAATTTTCTTTGAAACACTTTAATATTTCTTATGATGCATATAATTGTTCTTGATATCCTATCTTATCAATTTCTTTTTCAAACTTAATTTCTTTTTTATTTTTAACAACATTTTTTATATTATATGGTCCTCTCTTATATTTGGGTTTTTTCATTTTATAATTGTTCATTAATAATTCTTTCAAATTTTTAGAAAAATTGCTTGTTTTTTTGAAGGACTTAGATAGAAGATTTTTATTATGAAATAGGTTGTTTTTAATATTTGTTTAAGGGTATTTTAGGTAGTTCCAAATATTTGGAAAAGTCAAAATGGCCTCTCTTATTTGGGTTAATTTAATGTATTTCCCGCATTATTTCAAGCTAATATATTTTATCTAAAATAATGAAGTCAACGTCAACGTCAACATCAACATCAACGTCAATTGAACGGAAAGAGGCATAGTCAAGACTTGTCAGCCTTTAATATTTCTCTCGACGTGTCCCATTCATATCAATAAAAAAAATGGTCCTAAAAGGAACTAAACAGGTCCCAATTGCCATAATGATGATTGCTCAATCCTCATGTGCATTTGTCCAAGTCAATAAACTACGGCGTGTAACAAATCCAGTCCTCATATTTACTCAATATATGCATTCAAGATTCTGTTTCTTGCCTTAACCTGCTCATTCTACATAAACAAGAAAAACAAGAGAGGGAGAGAGACAAAATTAGAACCATGAAGTTTTCAAATAAAGTTTTTTCGTTACTTTTTGCCTTTACCTTTATTTTATCCATTCACGAGATTTCCAATGCAATCGATACTATAACTACTACACAGACCCTCAGAGATGGTAAGACCATTGTTTCATCAGACGGAACATTTGAATTGGGATTTTTTAGTCCTGGAAATTCCAAGAATCGATATGTGGGCATGTGGTACAAGAAGATAACAGATATGAAGGTGGTATGGGTTGCCAACAGAGAAGTTCCACTTACAAACACATCAGGAGTACTCCTGAAGGTTGTCGAGCCAGGACTTTTAGTTCTGCAAAACGACAGCAATGGTGTCGTCATATGGTCTTCTAACACATCACGACATGTGAAATCTCCGGTTGCAAAGTTGCTGGACTCGGGAAATCTTGTAGTGAAAGATACAAATGATGATGACCCGAAGAAATTCCTCTGGGAGAGTTTTAATTATCCAACTGATACAATGTTCTCAGGAATGAAGTTAGGTTGGAGCTTTAAAACTGATCATGAAGTGTATCTATCATCGTGGAAGAGCAAAGATGATTCGTCTACGGGTGTATTTACATGTCACTTTGATCCTACTGGTTATCCACAACAAGTTTTGAAAAAAGGTTTGATGGTGATTTATAAAACTGGACCTTGGAATGGAGTCCGCTATAGTGGGAGTCTAATCTTGAGGAAAGATCCTATATTCAAATACGGAGTAGTTCTAAATAAAAACGAGGCTTACTATTATTTTGATGTCCTCGACAGATCAATTGTTTCAACATATACTTTAATGGCAAATGGTGCTACAGAGACCATATGGGTTACTCCAACATATGTGTGGGTGACTAACAGTATAGCTGGAGCCGATATTTGTGATATTTATGGATTTTGTGGTGCATATGGTAGTTGCAATATTGCTAATTCTCCGGTTTGTGGATGTTTCGATAAATTCTTGCCTAAAGATCCAGATGGTTGGAACAGGAAAAATTGGTCGAATGGGTGCATTCGTAGAACTCCCTTGAATTGTTTAGATGGAGATGTATTTCTTAAGTATATTGGTATTAAGTTACCAGACACGCAATATTCCAGAATTAACGAGAGTATGACTCTCGAAGAATGCAAGGTAGTGTGCTTAAAGAATTGCACTTGTATGGCTTATACTAACTTAGATATAACCAGAGGGGGAAGTGGATGCCTACTTTGGTTCAAAGAACTAATTAACATCAAAATCCTAAGTGAAGCTGGACAAGATATCTACATTAGAATGTCTTCTTTTGAATTAGATAAGAATATTAACGAACTTGCTGTACATTCGGAAGGGAAGAGAAGAAAAATATTGATAACGAGTTTGACATCATTGATGGGAGTTGTTCTGCTAGGCCTGAGTCTGATGCTATACTTCTGGAAGAGGAAGAAGAATGTTCCAAAAGGAAGAAAAGGAGGTAAGCAACCTCTGCTATTTCATGATGAAGGAAATTAACGAAAATAGCACCTACAACATAATGTAACATCATTTACATGCATAAATACCTGTAAATAAGCATGTAAAGTGCAAACACATCCCAACAGGGCAATAGTTTCTCTTTTCAACTACTCTTAGCTATCATATCCTCATATTACTCATGTTTCAGGAAGTATTATCAAAGACTTTGAGCTGCCATTGTTCGATTTGCCTACAATTTCAAAGGCCACCAATAACTTTTCAATCAACAACAAGCTTGGACAAGGTGGATATGGGCTTGTTTATAAGGTAAAAGTGTGTACAATATACACATGGACTGTAGCTTGAGAAAATTAGAGCAGAAGATGAACAAATGTCAAAAGTTATAAAATCCTGGTAACATTAAATACTTGCATCACTTATAAAATCCTCACGTTTTTCAACAATTGATCATTTTTTCTGAAATTATCCATATGTCGAACACTATGAGAAATGCAGGCCTGGAAAAAAGTTTTGTCAAAATTCTTCTGAGACATTTTGAAAAGATAATAAACATTTTCCTTCAGTATAATCTCCAAATTTTTGCCTCTCTTGCTATACGAGATGGTCTCCTCAAATTCAATTCACACGATATCAATGTTAGCCTAGTAGAAGATTAATTTCAGCTTTGTACGTACATCCGTACAATGTTAAAATATTGCTTCTCTTATATAGCTAAGACATGTTAAACAAGAGTAAAAGATGAATTCAGGAGAATAAAATCTAATGCTATTAAAGTTTCATTAAAGTGAATACCTTTTCAAATGTTCAAGTTATGGTCTTAGGGAACACTGGAAGATGGAGAAGACATTGCTGTGAAAAGGTTGTCAGAAACTTCCATGCAAGGACTTGATGAATTCATGAATGAAGTGATGTGTATTGCCAAACTTCAGCATCGAAATCTTGTGAAACTTCTTGGATGCTGCATTCAAGGAGAGGAAAAGATGTTGGTTTATGAATACATGCCAAATAAAAGCCTGGACTTCATTCTATTTGGTGAGGATATCTGACAGTAGTAGAGTTACCTTTACATTTATATTCTATTACCGGTATAGAATGCCATAATAAAGGCTTAATCAGTAGCTCGAATATGTAGAGATCTGAAAATCAATGCTAGTAGGCGTTAACATCTCAAATTTAATTGCATAAATACAGAAAAAATTTACTCCTTTTGACCGACATAGCTTCAGAGTACAGTTTTTTAAGAGATCAAACACTATGGTATTAATCATAATATTTTATTGCCAGATCAAGCAAAAAGTAGGTTGCTAGATTGGCCCAAGCGCTTCCATATCATCAATGGTGTTGCAAGGGGGCTATTGTATCTTCATCAAGATTCTCGGATGAGAATTATTCATAGAGATCTCAAAGCAAGTAACATATTGCTAGATGCTGACATGAATCCAAGGATATCAGATTTTGGTCTGGCTAAAAGTTTTGGAGGGAATGAGGCTAAAGCTAAGACTAGCCGGGTTGTGGGAACACAGTAAGAATCAATCTCTATGCAACAATATATCTAATGCATTTAAATTACTTATAGCATTATTTCTTGTTAACACTTTCATGCAGTGGATACATGTCGCCGGAGTATGTAGTGGATGGCCTATTCTCCTTAAAATCAGATGTATTTAGTTTTGGTGTCTTAGTGCTAGAAATTGTGAGTGGGAGAAAAAACTGGGGATTTTCTCATAGTGATCACCGTTTCAACCTTCTTGGACATGTAAGTGTTTTTGTCTTACACTTATTAATGTGAAGTTTTATGACAAAAATAATGTACAACACATGACATTAGTATCATTAAAATTTTTAAAAATCAAGGTCCTCTTAGCCTAATGCAATTTATACAGGCATGGATACTTTACAAAGAAGGTAGGTCACAGGAAGTTGTTGGCACTTGTTCAGATGATTCGGAATACTTCAATGAAGTCTTAAGATCAATTCATGTGGGTCTTCTATGTGTGCAAAAATGTCCAGGAGACAGGCCAAGGATGTCTACAGTTGTTTTTATGTTGGAGAATGATGGTGCATTGCCTGAAGCTAAACAACCTGGTTTTTTCACAGAAAGAGAAGTATTTCCTGCTGAGAGTTCAACTAGCACAAATGCTGCCATCTCATCCTGCAAAATGAGCATTACTCTGCCAGAAGGTAGATAGGAATAGTTTGTATACTTATATTACATTATTTATCCAATGCTCATTTCTTCGCCTAGGAAAGGTTCTGTTTCTTATATCAGTATGCGATGATTTCATTATGGTGAGATCATTTTTAAAGTGTCAATGTTTTCAAGTATAACATAAGAGTTGATGACAGTTATTATATGACAACTGATATAATTCAAATTAGGCTATAATAATGTATTTGCATCGCAATTTATATCCAATTTTTATGTATTATACTCGTTTGTAGACTCTTTACTCAGGGAGCACTGGGACTGGTTTAGTACTAAGACTTGGAGTTCCATCCAAATATATTGCCATTGGTTAATGTTTTTATACTTAAGTGACTTAATGTTTTACTTTAACAGAGTAATCATCATCACGAACAGTTACAGAGCATTGCTTGATGTCCAAAAATATAATTAATTTGCTTGCTCTGTTCAACTCTGTTTCATCCCAGACTAACAGAAACTTGGTCGCTAAAAACAACTAACATGACATTGTGCAGCTATTTAAGTAGTTTTGTAAATACTAATTCAACAACTTCAACAAGAAAGAACCTAGAAAATATAAGGTGAAAATTAAAGGGGAAAAAATAAGCAAATTCACAACATTGGAAACCTTAAAACCCCAATTTATAAATGAAATGAAAGTACTACTAAAAAACAAATTAGGATAAAAATATATTGTCGCCCTATATGAAACACAAACATCCTGAAATTCAGCATGTATAATATCATAAAAATTGAAAATCGCATTGTTATGATGATGACACAGGATTGTGCTTGAGTTCACATTCAATAAACACCATCGTACATAGGATTGCGAAAATTGGTTCACATTTGTAAGAAATTTGTGGGTTGCTAATTTGAACGTCACATTCTGCCGGCTAATTCGCCAAACAAAATTTCATATGCAAAAAGAGAGAGGGCACGAACAATACTTTTATATTCTGAATTCATGTGAAAACCTAATTAAGTACGAAATCACTTAAAATATGGATTATTTTTACATTTCACTTCTCAAAATTGTGTCCGGTCATTGATTTCAGAAACCACTCCGCTATTGAATTGAGTTTGTATTTGTTAGTTGCACATTTACTTCATTAACTATACATTAAATTTTATGTCTCAACAACTCTTCCAAAATTCAACACTACTGTCAAAAAGGTGATGTATTTTTCAAGCATTCTGATGCTAAAATGCCATATAAACGAAATTCTTGTTAGGCTTGATGAATGCAATATTTCACTGTTCTTAAACTTGCAGAGATCCTCAAACCAATCACTGATGGATATTTATTGCATAAAGTATATTTTCTGAAAATAAAAGAAAGTTTTCCACAACTCAGAAAGTGCTTATAAGTGATTATGGAAGTTTTTGTTTTTGCCATCATATGCTACAAAATAGAAAACATTGATTTTGCAAAAAGTAATAACTAAAAATTAGATAAAGACTAAAATTTAGATTAAGATAAAAATAAAAATAAAAATAGTAAAATTAATGATGAGGAATCAATCTTTATCTTAATCTAGATAAAGATTAAAATTAAAGATGAAGACTCAATTTTCCTTATTCTCCTCCAATTGACAAAGATTCATCCTCAAATCTTGCACATTAATTGTTCTTCATTCAATTCCTCATGACAAGAACAATCTATTTGATAGCTCTATAAAATGCTCATTAGCTGCTTCTTTCAATTTCGTTAAAAGTTACATATCTATGGCAACCCTATACTCTATTGACCAAATTATTTCGATATCAATATAGAAAAATAAGTGTTCCAGAACCAAAAGACATAATTGTCGCACCCTTCACAAAATTATCCATGTCACATAGACACATCTTTAAACAAAAGCATGGAATCTTGCCATCTATAGTTGTCATATTGATATTTTCTTTCTTGAATTTCTTGGACAATTCTTCAACGATTTCGACATATGGCTCATTACAGATAATTGGAACATTATTAGATATACCATTATCCAAATTGAAAAAATTCTTCAATCTCTTCATAAAAATTTGGAGACGAATCGTGTATGTCATTACTAACTTCACACATTCTTTAATTTCTTCATAAATATGGGAGGACCATCATAACTCAAATCAAAGATTCTTCCATCTTTGAATTATTGAAAGGAATAAAAAGAGTTTCATCCCAAAACATAACTTCAGCCATTGGATTACACGAATTCAACTTATCTCAATTAGGAATGAACCTCGCTTTAAACCAAGTGATGTAAAATGAATACCGCAACACAATTACCTTCTGGTTTATGATAATTCCTAAAAATACCAGAAATTAGGCACAAAAGCTCCTAGATTCATGCATGAATGTAGAGAATTTGGACTCATTAATTTGAAGTATCAAATATCGAAAATTTACGAAATTTGAGAAAATTTCAACAATTAATTTTTTATTCTAACTAAAAAACTACCAACCGTCATTAAGACTTTCAGTACTTATTTTAAATAATAACTAAAAGCCTAATAAAGATTAGAATTAAAAGTAATGACTAAAATTAATGATGAATACTCAATCTTCATAAAGACTAAATCTACACAAAGATTAAAATTAAAGATAACGACCAAAATTAATGATGAAGACTCATTTCAGTCTTCATCACTTCACCTAATCCAATTTATACCGGCACGGATACTGTTGGAAATAACAACAATGGAGAGTAAAATAGGATGAAGATGGAAACACCAAATAAATGTATTTGCAAGATTTGAATAGCTTAAACACGTTGTTCTCAAAAGATATTTGCCTCCCATCCAAATACTTTTAAGGATTTAAATATGGCAAATAGTTTGAAAAATTAATCAAGTCTAATGAAGAACACCAAAGCACAAGCGGTTCTTCAATATGAGCAAGTGAAAACTTTGAAATGAATTAGTAAAGGAATTTGATAATCTCTCTTTGAATGTGTGAAATGATTGTATGTTTTTCATGGGTTTAGAGACGAAAACTATTCTCTTTTTAAAGTTTTCAATCAACACATCTCGAAATGGTTCCAACTGTTTAAGAAAAGATGGAACTTTTTATCCAAAAGCCAATAGATTTCAAACGTGAAAACCAGCTTGATGGCCTGTTTCCGTGCCCATGCAATTGCACAGTTCAACTAAATTTGTTTTAGGTTTTTGCAAAGTGGCCCATGGGAACGCATGGATTGGCAAAACCAAAGTTACAATTTTGTCATTCATCAATTCATTCACACATTTGGCCCAATTAAGGCCCAATATCAAATCTACCTTATAATATATGATTTTGAACAACAATATTTCTAACAAGCTCCCACTTGTTCAAAACCGATCACATATTCAAATTTCAACACTTATGCATAAGGGTTAGATAACTTTCGATTTGAATATGAGAATAGTGTAAATCTCACAAAATATTATCAAAATTTCAGGTAGCATGAAAGCTTTGAACCAATTATTTCTCATGATAATACCAATAAAATCACACACACAAGTGTTATGTTTTCACAAGTTCCTCAAACTCGCTTAATGCTAACATGACTTTGCACTTATCCTATTTATTGGACTTTTAAGAGAGAAACTCTAAGTTTCTGTTGAGGTAGTATTACTTTGAAGTTCACATCAATGAAATTGTTTTAGCATCTTTATTACTTTTAGAAGTACTTGTACTTAGTACTGAACTTTATTAGGAGTTCTATAACTCATCCCTTCAATTGTAACAACTAGGACTATTCATCAAGGATAGTTTTAAATAAGTTAATAGTGCTGAAATCTATCCACTTATCGAATGATTTGTTCTTAACTTTTGAACCTAGATATACTTGTTTAGTAGATTTTGGTAGGGTTGCTATCATTGGTGGATTTTAATAAAGGAGTTTCAACCCAATCCTTCTCTATGTCGATCATATTATCTCTCTTGTAAGAGGTTTAGTCAACGGATCGACTAAGTTCTTATTAGACTTAACATATGTAAGAGAAATTATTTCATGCTTGATTAATTTTTTTGCACACTAATGTTTTAGATTCATATGTCTAGACTTTCCATTATATATTTTGTTATATGCTCATGCTAAAGTGGCTTGAGTATCACGGAAAATAGGCATAGAAGAATATTCTTTGCATCCAAAGGAATTTAATAAAGAAGACCCCTTAGCCGCTTAGACTCTTTTCTAGTTTCGGCCAATGCTGCAAACTCTGACTCAATTGTTTAGTGTATAATGCATGTTTGTTTCTTCGACTTTCAAGAAATTGCACTTCTTCCAAGAGTAAACAACCAACTTGAAGTAGGCTTATTTTCTCCCCACTCAATATCGAACTAGTGTAGGTATATCTTTCTGGGATAGTTGAGAAATTCATATAATGAAGTCTAAGGTTTTTGGTTTTCTTCAAGTAACCAAGGACCTTCCTATGACCATCTAATGTTCCAAACTTGGATTGCTAGTAAATTTACGTAGTTTACCCATTGAAAATGCAACGTCTGATATTGTATATTGTACCACATATATAAGGCTTCAAATTGCACTTGCATATTCAATTTGAGCTATTGCTCTTCTATCATTCTTTATTAACTCAATGCTTGAATCCAACAAGGTATTTACCTCTTTAATGTTCAAATGTTTCTACTTATTTATCACACTTTCAGCATAATGTGATTGGCTTAATGTATAACTCCCACTATCCTTTCTAAATTTGATGCCAAGGATGGTATCCACTTATCCACGATCTTGCATTTTGAACTTAGAGGATGTGAACCATTTCGTTTCTCTAATCCCTTTTATATCATTACTAATGATTAACTTATCATCCACAAAAAAACATATGAATATAATTATACTATCATACATTTTAGTATATAAATATTTACCTATTGAATTATGATTAAAATCATTTTAATTTTAGAGTCAAACTTCTCATGCCACCTTTTAGATGTTTGTTTTAATTTATATAAGGACTTGACTAATTTGTCCACCTTATGTTCATTTCTCGGTAGAACAAACGTTTAAGCCGTTCCATATAGATCTCCTCCTTGATATTTCTACTTAGAATTGTCGTCTTAACATTCATTTGATGAACATGTAAATCATATATTGATGCTAATGCAAAAAAGATTCTTATCATTGTTATCGTAGCCACTGGTGCATATTTGTCAAAATAATTGATTCCTTTCTTTTGTCAATACTCTTTAACTACTAATATCGCTTTATAGGTAATGAGTGTACCATTGAAATTATATTTCCTACTAAACACTC